GAAATGTCTGTGATTTGATACTTAAGATTAATCATACTGCTAACTTTTCTATTATTTCATTTCCTGTGTTGTCCTTTTCTAACTCTGGTAGCCTTCAAACTTTTTGACTGGCCTGCTTTCCCCTTCTCCTCTCTGTAGTGTTGTCTCAGCTTGGCTCTGCCGAGAACAGACCTGAGCAAAGCCTTCCTCAGCAGAGATTCCAGCTCTCCTCTGCCTTTCAACAGCAGCAGCAACAGATACAAGTAATCCAGCAACTTCACTCTGATACATTTTTTGATACTCAGATCCAAAAGTACCTCAAAATATCTTGCTTTAATTTCACTGTCTCATAAGACTGTAATTGGTAAATAATTTAGTAAACTTTATTGAAAGTCTTAACATTTTAGCCAGTCAACTTGGAGCACTGGATGTATTTTTGTACATTTAAGCCATACTCTTTTCCTAATTTAAAATTTTATTGACATGCTGGTGGCACCTTACCATATATTTTTTTTCATTTGTAGTATATTTTGAAATAGTTTTAAGTGCCAATTATTAACTTTCTGATATTGTACTGCAAAAAAAGTGTTCCTATTAGTCAATGTCATACCTGTTCATTTAGAAAAATGTTATTAATTTAGGAAGGAAAATAAGCATATTAGAGTTGACAATCTTCATATTCAGGGTGGTTTCATATTGCTATAAACTATCATTATAAAACAAAATGGTAATTGAAGTTGCTGAGTTACTGCATTATAGACTGGCAGGGCAAAGTAATCCTTAAGTTTGCCAAGAGTTATTTTTAAAGCCCTCAGCAGGCTTCTGTGCCACTGGTGCTGTCTGACTGTGCATTGTCTCAATGTGTTATAGTCCCTTTTTGTTATCTTGGTGCTTTCTCCCTTTCAGTTGTGTTGTTTTCATCACTCTCAGAAAAAGCACCTTTCCATACCTGTCTGCTTTAACATAACTTGATTTTTTTCTTTCCTTTTGCAGCAGTTGCGATTCTTGCAGCATCAAATGGCTATGGCAGCAGCAGCAGCAGCACAAACAGCTCAGCTACATCGTCATCGGCATACAGGCAGCCAGTCAAAAAATAAAATGAAGAGAAGCACACCAAGCACTCCAAAATTATGAGTTATTTTTTTCTTTTTTAAAAACTCAACAGCATTGAATCAAAATAATTGTTTCTACTTCATTTTTTAAAATGTGTCAGTATTTTACATTGTTAGATGTACAATCTTTATACAGAAGCACAACCCTATGATTTTTAAATAAAAATGGGGAAATGGCTTAAGGAACCAGGGTTGGTTTGCCTAAGTCATTGCTTTTTAAAAATGGTTTCAATGAACAAATTATATATGGAAGTGGCCTAAGAAATACTAGAAACATCTTTCAGAAGAATGTAGTTTGATATTTATT